ATAATAATAATAATAATAATAATAATAATAATAATAATAATAATAACAATATGCATGAACGAAAGTTCAATCTCGGTTTGTGTCCACCTCCTAGCTGTGACCAAGTGGTCAGTGAATTCAGGCTCTCATTGGTTGCTTTTAAGGACAAGCGGGCTAACCCAGATTTCGTGGGCTTCCGGAAATCTTGACCTGCACCAGAAGTGGGCATTACCCTACCTATTGGAGAAGTTTGGTTTCATTGGTGGGCATATTTGTTTGGTTATAGAGAAAACTCTCCTTGTCTTTTTAAAGAAACGGGATAAGGATCCAAAAACTGAAACTTCGATTTCCTCAAAACAGCATTTCTCGGGATAGCCCCATTGTGCTTAGAAGCGACCAATTGCTGTCAAGAACAAGACTGTGACACATTGCTTAGGTGAGTGGCCACTGGGGTGTGTCTTTGAGCTAGACACGATAACCCTGGCTCAAATACAGGGCTGTGCACAGAGGCAACCAACAATGGCATGCTGGTACATTTGGACAAACAACGACATGTTCGTACAATTATCGGTACTGGTGTGATCTTGTGCATTTGGTAAATTTGATAATAATATACTCATATTATAATATTTGTAAATTTGTCTTTTTAAGTGTATCTGTGTTTAGGTAAGTGTCTATGGTAACCAACTTTCCCCCAAAAAGACCATTAAAGTGGGAATCATTCATTTATTATTTCATTTATTCCCTCCTTCATTCATTCATTTATTCATTCAACTCATCCATTCATTTATTTATCTTTCATGTTTTAAAATAACATGTATTTTATGCACACTGGATACGTGCTCATCTGTTTCAGTATGACCTACATTTTGGTTGATTGTTGTAACAATGATAATATTTATGTGATAATTGTGTAAAGCGACAGTCCTTTTCGTCCAAACACATCTCTAAGTTTTTATAGTCTAGCTCAGTGCTTGTAACCCGGGGCAGCCTCGCCCACTAGTAGGCGATTTGGTTATTTTTTGGGAGGTCGGGATCTCCTGGGTAGTGACAAGAATTATTTACTGTCGTTTATAGAATGATGCGTTGTTGCACGATACGAAAAGTTTACGTTCTTAAAGGTGGCAAAAGTGGCCACTGGCAATAAAACAAAAAGTTGACAGGCTTTGGTCCAGACTTATCTATAGAAAGAGACTTACGTGTGCGTGTCAACTAGGTCTTCCGTCGTAAGGGAAAACGACGAATGGTCCAGCGCAGGTAGCGAAGCAAATTTTTCAGGAGAGGCAAACAATGTTTTCACTTTATAACTCTTCTATTTTTCATTCTTTTAAGCTGTAATTCACCAGATTTCTAATTAAGGTGTTCATAAAGCATTTTCATAAGTTTTAATGGTTTAGGTTGAAAATTAGCAACGTTATTTGACCTTCGTCGTTTTCCCTTACACTGCGCGCCTGCAGGTGAGCCTTGCGATGTAAGCGAAAACGACGAATTGTACCGTTCGTCGTTCTCCCTTACACTCGTGAAGGGTTATGGGGGTGGGCGATGGTCAGTAACTGGTGATTTCCGATAACTGGCGGGTTTTTTAGCAAAGTGACCACTGTGAAACTAGATATCTAGTCAACGTTGTAATTTTGAAAAACACAAGCTTTAGTTTCATGTAACCTACAAAATAATTCACAACCGAACCAGTTGGTGGTCCAAGCACGAGTTGTCGGCCCTGCTTGAATCTCTTTCTGGGCAATTACCAGCCCTGATTCGGCTAGTGTGACAAGGATACCTGGTCTCTATTCTCCTCCAGATGCCCCCCCCCCTCTTTCCATCCCCCCCTTTCTCTCCTCTCTCCTGTGCTCCTCCTCCCCCCACCCCTTGCAGCACACCAAACAGATTTTTTTTCTAAATACACACCTGCGTTCTCTCTACTTATGTCTTTTATCGTTTTCTATCTATCTTTCTATCCATCTATCTATCTATCTGTACTGTTTCCACGGCTACGTCCATATGCATGTCTCTCCAACGTGTTTGTGTATACGAACGTGTGAAGAAAGTCAGTTTATTTGAATGTTTATGTCTGTATTTACGTGTCAGTAAATGAATGTGTGTGTGTGTGTGTGTGTGCGTGTGTGTGTGTGTATGTGTGTATGTGTGCGCGTACGCCTGTTTGTATGTATGTGTGTGTGTGTGAAAGAGAGAGGCAGAGAAAGAAAAAAAAAAAGAGAGAGAGAGAGAGAGAGAGAGAGAGAGAGAGAGAGAAAGAGAGAGAAAGGGGGAGAGCGAGAGAGTGTGTGAATGAGTGAGCATAAACACTTATGAACTGGGTTTGGACAGCAACATGTATGGGATAGGGTTGAATGCATTAGGACCATATATTTACCGGACTTTATTAGAGGCCCAGCCAAGCTACGACAATGATTAAAAAGGGGAAAAAAACAACAGGAGAACTAACCTCAGCAAGATGTTATGACGTACTAAGCCAAGATAGCAAGATTTCTCAAAAGGGAGAGGAAAAGTTTTATTTCTTTAACAATTGTACCTAACATATTGTTTGTTTGTTTGTTTGTTCTCAACATTAGAAGCTAGATTTTGAATTTAGACAAAATGTGAGGCAGTGTGGTAGAATCAGGCTCTCGTCAAAATAATCAAAGTGAAGAAACTTGCATTTTTCCGCAGGTTTTTGAATTTTTATCAAGTTTTTGTTTTTTGGCTCAACACCTTTCATTCCCATTAAAGAACTCATTTCTGTGTAGATTTTTCTGAAAAGCGCTGATTAAAGGCACAAAAATGTAAATTTTCAGTTACCACGGACTCTTAAGCTAAGGAAATAATTATCTTTGGCGGCCATTTTCTCATTAATGTTACCTCTGAAAACAGGTGACCCCTAACTCCTTCTTTCGCAAATTTATATCTCGATTTTTATTTAAGATAAATGGATATATTTTCATCCAAATAAAGACAAGTGAACAAGCTTTAAGATTATACCAATAACTCTACATGCCCCAAAATTGACGAGAGCCTGATTCCACCACGCTGCCTCACAAATGTTTTTTCAGCACATGCAACCAATATTACAGATTAAGAAACTGCAAAAAAAGGAATTAAACATTTTTGGATTAGTTCATTTTAACAGCTGGCTGTCGATAAAGATCTACTGGACCTTAGGTGTTTCAGACAAAGTACTTTCTTAATCAAAATGTCAAGTAATTGTCATTTAGCAGCCAATAAAGAGAATAAAATTCTATCTGCACTAGGGGCCTCCATCCCGCATGCCCATCCTAACCCTGCCCCCCTTCTTTCTAAAACCCACACGCACACACCCGACTCCATTTCCCGTTCATCACTCATACATGTGTAAATACGAGCTTCAGGGACTTCGTTGTTGGAACCACAGACAAAAAAACAATGATTTAAGCCTTTATTGTCCCATCACGAGCATCGATAATGATATGATACTGGCATTGTCCACACGATAGTGGAGGTTTGGTTACATGACAAACACAGCATTCATTAACTTTGCCTCTCGTCTCGTTGCCTGGCTGGCAGCAGACTTCGACTTTTCCTGTTCTCTTGTCAGACTGGTGGATACTGTTGGGATCTTCAGGATTATTATTATCTTGCTGACTCTTTTGTAACAAGTATTAAAGTCTATTTCTCATGTTTAGGTGACACAGAAGTGCCTCTAAACAAAGAGGTTCATTCTAAACAATAAGTATGGACGAGAGAAAGAAAGATAGGGTAAGCAGAAAAATTCAGGCATAGAAATATCTAATTTTAC